TTTTATTTCCGAGTTTTTCGCTAGAAAATCCCATCCATAATTTGTTTTGTGGAGAAACATTACCATCCACAATAAATATGTAGAGTCAGAATAAGTCCCTAAAAACGTGGCCTATCTCCTCCACTCCCTTGCGCTATTTTCGTGGTTAATAAGTGGTTGAGAGAGGGGGGAGGGGGTATTTCTATAGCTATAAATACCCTGCTTCCCCTCAGTTCTAAACACACCATCAGCTCTTCTATTCTCTTCTCTTCGTCCTCCTCTGTCTGAGCATACAAGTCGGGTTTGTTCTGTGCTTTAGTCGTGGTACTAAGCTCAGAATATCTGTGTTAACCAATCGAAAGCTACCGGGTATAAAGACTACCACAATCTCCGGTAAATTGCTTTTAAGGCAGTATATTTCTATTTCTTTCTTTTCTCAGCCCACAGCAAAAGTAATCGAAAGTTACGACATTCTTTCTGCAATTTCCCAACATATGTGCCTGTTAATAAGTTGAAGGCACATAACATGCTAACTACAGACACGTAAACTATTAACTGCAGTAACGTACATAATATGTTAATTGCGGACATTCAAATATACAATATGTTAACAGCAATTACCATTTTATGTGTATGTAGTTAACATTTCAATTTATTTACAAGTACATAAATGGTTAAGTGCAGAATCTACCAATCGTTATACCCTGCACCACGGCGCACAGTGCACTATGCGCCCCGCGCCTCCCAAAACGACGTCGTTTTGAGAGGCATGGTAGGAAGTTGACATGATTATGTATATTTGTTTATACAATTATGTATATTTTTTATTATATACATTTTTTATACAATTATGTACATTTTTTTTATACAATTATGTACATTCGAATCGGGAAATTTTTGTGTATTATGTTAAGAGTTGATGTGTATTATGTTAAAAGTTTATGTTTATTATGTATTATGTTAGATTATGTGTATTATCTTTTAAAAAAGAGTATGTGTATTTTGTTATATAATTATGTACAATTATGTGTATTCTAGTATAACATTATGTACATTTTTTAACATGAGATTTTTTAAGAAAAATTAACTGCCAAACACTGGGTAGCGAAATTTTCAAAAAGAAAAAAAAAATAAAACGACATCGTTTTGCATCTGAGTGCACAATGCAACGCACGCCGTGGTGCAAGATATAAATTGCCCTGAATCTACAATGCAAGATAACATAAATTGCGGGTTTCACGTGGGTTTGATCTGTTGGTACGTACATTGAATCTTAAAATTAAACATATTCATCAGATCAGTACAGTTGACTTTCCAATCCAATGTACTACTCCGTAATTACTTATTATATACCTCGTGTAACATGCTGCATTTATTTATATAGAAGATGATCGAGAGAAGAATCGCGTGTGTGTATATATATATATATATATATATATATATATATATATATATATCTACAAATTTAATAAGAGCGAATAGTGTTAGGCCCTTAACTGGAACAAAAAAAATGTCGGTACTAATTGTTTCTTAAAATGAATGGTTCATATTATTTTGATTTTAGTATCTTTTAATGATTTTCCTTATTTACCCTCTATTATATTATTTTCTTCCCTTAAATAACCCTAAATTTCGTTAGTTTAAACTTTAGTAACGGAATATTCCGTTAACTATTTATTATTCTTAACATACTCTTAATTTTTATAAAGTATAATTGCCATAATTGTTAAACATATATTATGAATATGTTAAAATGTATTTAAAAAATATATAATATAAAATTTAACATAAACTTTGGTCAAATAATTAGCTCAACTAAATACATAGTATTCAAAGTTTAGCATCAAAGATCATAAATCAGGAACTACTTTAAAATCATTTGATTTTCTTGAATTTTTATTTAAAAAAAAAAACAAATTTAGGTTAAGTTTTTTTTTTTTTTTAATTAATCTTCTTGTGATTATTTAGAACAAAACTTAATATTTCAATTATGCTTTTGCCTTATTGGAATGATTTAGGTCATTATGGTATTAATATTTTTTATATTTTTTTTATAATGGTACAATTGTACATTACTTTACAAATATTATACTAATATTTTTTTATCAGACAAAATTGTTCTTACATCATTGTCAGACCTGCGCGGCCTAACTACAAAGTTGTTGATCATAAATACAATTACACATGGACTCTAAAATGGTAGGATCATTTTCCAAATAATTGACAATGTTAGCATCCTACTAGCTCCAATTAAACAAGTTTACACATCAATTTTTATCAATGCATGAAAATTTATAAAGAAATTTGTAAGTTAATTTTTACTATATCATTATATTAATATCTATTGTAACCATATATTTTGAATTATTTATTATCATCCTCTATTGACAGCAATTGTAGCAATTGACATGGACAAACTCTCAAACAATTTGTCTCAACAAGAAATGGAAATAAAAAAAAATCATTGATTTCATTATTGTTGAAGAAAAGTATGTACGACACTTTATTACTCTTATTAATTAAATAAATTAGTAGCTACAAAAAAAATAATACATATGCATTTAATTAATTTAGAATTAGATGTCTATAATGCTTTATTTAAAAAAAAAGTTATTCATTATAAAAAAATTTAAAAGAAATATAATTTCATTAGTTATATTATTTTTATTTTCTACCATTCAAAGATTCCTTACCTTCAAATTTATTAATTTATTATATTCACTACATTGTTCATTGTCTTTTTTTTTTTTACATTATTATCTTGTAATTAAATATCAAAGTTATTATATATATTTATTTATTTACCAAGTATTTTATACAAATATAATACATATTAATATTTTGTTCAATACTTTCACATGATAACCTACGACACACATCTCACAACACATGAAACATGTAGGGAAAAACTGCCATTATTAAATATCAATAGGTGTTTGTACGCTAAAGAGTTCATATTAGACCTAAAATTTAAGTCATACACAGCAAGGCAAATCTAAAACTTCCTACACCATAATCTCATTGCATGATGAATCCCTCTATGCTGCTACAAGTAACCTAATTGCACATGACACACTACCAATAAAAAAAAAGGACATGTACTGAAGATGAAAACAATAACAATGCTACCCAAAAGAGAATTAAGAAGAATTAGAGAAATTTAAACCAAAAGTAGTATTTATTTAGACTATCGCTTTAAGACTAAGTATTTAGACTAACGTTATTACAAAGTTGCAAACATTTATTTTAGTGAGAATTATAATCAATTTCTCATATATTATCTTGCATTTATATACTTTAAATTACCAATTTAAATAAACAAATTCAATATTTATTTACCTATGCATGAACATCTCCTATATAATATTGCATTGATATACTTTGAAATACTTATTTAAAAATAATTATTGGGCATTATCCCATTCGCGCAAAGCGCGTAAAAAAAACTAGTATATATGTATATATACATTGATATACTTTGATAATCATTTGATAATCATTTGATTTTCTTTCATTAAAAAAAAAATTTAATTTGAGTTCAGTTTTTTTTTTTTTTCGTTTAATTAATCTTCTTTTGATTATTGAGAACAAACTTAATATTTCAATTATGCTTTTATCAATGAATGAAAACTTCTAAAGAAATTTGTAAGTTAATTTTTACTATATTATTATAATAATATCTATTGTAACCTTATATTTTGAATTATTTATTATCATCATCTATTGACAGCAATTGTCATTGACAAACTCTCAAAACAATTTGTCTCAACAATGAATGAAAATTAAAAAAAAATAAAAATCAATGATTTCATTATTATGGATGAAAAGTATGTACGCCACTTTATTCAATCGTTATGATGTGGAATTGTGTCCACCTTGCAATGTGGACACAATTCTATGTTCATAATTACTGAACTATATGTTCATAATTATAAAGCTATATATTCATAATATTTGAACTCTATATTCACAATTACAGAACTCTATATTCATAATTACTGAACTATATGTTCATAATTATAAAGTTATATATTCATAATTTTTTAACTTCATATTCACAATTATTGAATCTCTATATTCATATTTTCAAAAAAAAAAAGAATCTCTATATTCATAATTACAAAACTATATGTTCATAATTATGTTCACAACTCTATGTTCATAATTATAGAACTATATGTTCATAATTTTTGAACTATATATTCATAATTATGAACAGTTTTGGAACCGTGTCCACCTTTATCCACCTTGCAAGGTGGACACGGTTCCACATCATAATTTTCCTATTTTATTGCTCTTATTACTTAAATTAAAAAATAAATTAGTAGTTACAACAAAAAAAAAAAAAAAAAGACATATGCATTTAATTAATTTAGAATTAGATGTCTCACAACACATGAAACTTGTAGGGAAAAACTACCGCTACCAAATATCAACATGTGCTTGTAAGATAAAGAGTTCATAGCACAACTAAGATCTCAGTCATATACACAACAAGATAAATCTAAAACTTCATACACTATAATCTCATTGCATGATGAATCTCTTTATGATACTACCAATAACCCAATTGCACATGACACACTACCAATAACAAAAAAAAACAAAAAAAAAAAAAACATGTACTGAAGATGAAAACAATAACAATGCTACCTAAAAGAGAATTAGAAAAATTTAAACCAAAAAATAGTATTTATTTAGACTATCGCTTTTAGACTTAGTACTTAGATTCTTAGATTAGCGTTATTACAAAGTTGCAAACATGTATTTTGTAACAGTTATATATAATCAATCTCTCATATATTATATTGTATTTATATACTTTAAATTACCGATTTAAATAAACAAATTTAACATTTATTTACCTGTGCATGAACATCTTCTATATAATATTACATTGATATACTTTGAAATACTTATTTAAAAATAAGTATTGAGCATTATCCTATTCGCGCAAAGCGCGTAGAAAAACTAGTATATATATATACACTGTAGTAGACGCTGAGTTAGGCATCCTGCATTGTGCATTCTATTCTGCATTCATCATTGGGGCTTCAATGGCAGGGGCAATCAACGCTAATGACACATCTAAAAGGCAGTTACCCAAATTAAATCATCTTCAAATCTTCAATAATATAATATCATATTCTATTATTCGCCTTGATGAGTTGATTATATTGTTTATTATTGAAGCTGATGAATATGAGTTTATATATATAGGTATGCAGTTGTGACAGGAGGAAACAAAGGGATTGGGTTTGAAATATGCAGGCAGTTATTAGGTTCTGGTGATGGAGTTACGGTGGTTTTGACTGCCAGAGACGAGCAGAAGGGAAAGGAAGCTGTGGAGAAACTCAGAGCTTTTGACTTCTCCCATGGTGATGTGCTCTTTCACCACCTCAATGTTACCGATCCCTCCACCGTCTCTACCCTTTTTCATTTCGTCAAAACCAATTTTGGAAGACTTGATATTTTGGTGAGTAGGTTTAGTCATTACTAATTACTAATTACTAGTGATTGTGTTTGTGTACCCAACAATTTTCACTTTATAATATAATTATAACCAGTTGTTATACAATCGATTAAGTATTATTTTGCATTGTAAATCTTGATTCAAAAATTATGTGTTCCCTTGTTAGTATATTATTATTATTATTATTATTATTATTATTGTTGTTGTTGTTGTTGTTGTTGTTATTATTATTTGCTTCCCCCACCTCACCCTTTTTTTTTTTCCTACACTCTAACCTGTAAGGCACTTTAAATTTAATCATTATTGTGGACTATGGTTCATACAAGTTGTGTGCATCATATTTTGTATCTTGTAAAATAATATACATTCACTACAAAAATGATGTACATTTAGTATATTAAAAATGTACATTATATTCAGAGAATGTACATTATTTTAGTACTGAAAGTACATTATTTTGTATAATGTACATTCAGTACATGAATAATGTACATTTAGTATATTAAAAATGTAAATTTTGTTATAGTCCATACAACACTGTGTACGTAGATCATGGTCCATACAATAATTTGCCCCTTAAATTTGTGAAAAACTTCAAATGTTGAGCATACTCTTATTATTATTATTATTATTTTTTTTTGAAGATATTATTATTATTATATGTTTTTTTTTTTGAATACTACTGACTCTATTATATGTTGTTTTAGGTGAATAATGCTGGAGTTAGTGGATTGGATATTGATGAAAACGTTTTAAAATCTTCAGAGGTACGTAATATATATATATATATATATATATATATATATATATATATATATATATGTTACGTTTCTAGTCATCTATCTAGTGGAGTCTGTAAGACTGCTAAGCCAACATCCTTTTTCTTTATTCCATATTGCAAATTCATTGATCGAATTCAATAGCAGCGCTAGGTTATGTTGTTAAATAATTAGTATCAAAATATATTTTATGGTTAAATGCGATAAACTTTTAATTATATTTTAGGTAGCTACAAAATTGGTTACTAATATGCCATTGTTTGAATTAGTTTTGGAAATGTGATATTCTTGAGAATGATTTTGTAATTAATTTTTGTAATATACATCGGTATCTATTTCCCCAAAATTTTTAGATAATGTAAAATTTTATTGAATGTAAGATTAAAAAAAAGTGTGATAAACTAAACCAAACGCATCCTCAATGTGCTGTGAATTTAAGTATCCATGCATAAATTGATCCCCTACCACTACTTTTAACAATCATTATATCGTAGATCAGGATCTATCATGCACATTGTAGACCATGTTCAGATTATATGTACCTTCAGTTAATATATATATATATATATATATATATATATATATATATATATATATATCAGCTACATTTAATATATTATATACATTTAGTTTATTTACATTTACATAATATGTTAATGGAAGGTATATAATATGCTTATTGCACGACTTCATGTACCTAACAAATAAAGAGTAGTTGCAAAAAAAATATTTGTGAAATCATATTTTACAAGATTATGATGTGATTATGCATGGATGCAGGGAGGTCAAGTCCATTGGTCCAAAGCACTTTTCCACACTTATGAGTTGACTGCTGAATGCATTGAGATAAATTACTATGGATCAAAGAGAATGACTGAGGCATTTCTTCCCCTCCTTCAATTGTCTAAATCTCCCAGAATAGTAAATGTCAGCTCTGCTGAGGCAAAATTGGAGGTATTTATATTCTTTTATCTTATTTTTAGTTCATGACTTATTAACAAAATGTGACACATTTTCATTAATTGGAAATGAAATTAAGTGAATCTTGAACCTTCTAGCCAACAACAAAAAAAAAAAAAAAAAGGGACAGGGCCCAGAATTCTGTTGAGCGGGGGCGAAGAAGCGGGGTCCATAAATTTTTTCGAGTGAAGGCAAAACATGAAAACAAAAGAGATAATTTGAAAAGAAAAAAAATTACCCAAGAAATATTTGTATAAATATTGTTGGATCTGGGTAAAAATAAAACACATCAAAATCAAAATTTTATAAAAATATTCATAACAAAATATTTGAGACATAATTAATTTGATAAAATAATTTGAATAGAGAGCACATTATAAATTACACGTCTCATTATTAATATAAAAGAATATTATATATATATATATATATATATATATATATATATATATATATATATATATATATATATATATATATATAATATGTGTGTGTGTTAAATATTATAAAAGCTATTAAAGGAGGCAAGAGACACTGTGAAACTGGCAACATGTAACCAAGGATTCAAAACTTAGACCTTCATTGTAACCAAACATGTGCTCTACCAACTAATCTAATTCACTTCTCATTTACAATCATCTTATTCTTTATATTAATACTAAAACTTGTACTATATAATCTATATACATATATACATACAAAGGTTATATATGAGGTGAGAATGGGGGGAGGGGAGCAGATGCCCCCTCTGACTCTGTCCCTGCACACACACACACACAAAATAATTGATAATAGACCACCAAAAAAATAAATAACATTATTAGGTCAACCCTACTCATGTGCCAATAATTATACCGTAGATAAGGGTCCACTTTGCAATGTAAATCTTGAACTAAAAACTTTACCTTAATAAATAAATAAATATATATATATATATATATATATATATATATATATATATATATATATATATATATGTTAGTGAATAATGATACATCTTATAATATGGATCATGATCCATAGACCACAGTATACTTGGTCTAAAAGTGCTATTAACTCGTCACTTAAAATTTTTACCTAAAAGTCTTAAACATTAAAAAAAAAAATGTCTTCTATTTTAGTTGTTGACCAATTAACTTGGGATATTTGTTTTATATTTTAGAAAATACATGATGAGTGGGCCAAAGGAATATTAAACAATGTTGAAAGTCCACCTGAAAAGCTTGATGAAGTGGTGAATAAATACTTGGAAGACTACAAAAATGGTCGCTTAGAACATACTGAAAGGTTTCGAGTCCCGTCGGCCTACTCCGTTTCCAAAGCAACTATGAATGCTTATGCAAGAACCATAGCACACAAATATCCTTGTTTGCAGGTCAACTGTGTCAACCCTGGCTATGTTAAGACAGACTTAACCTATAACAGCGGTCTGATTACGGTGGAGGAAGGAGCTCAGAGTATTGTGAGAGTGGCTCTACAGCCTGAAGATGGACCTTCTGGCGTCTTCTTTGATCGTCAAGAAATTATATCATTTTAATAACTTCGAATTAATTCCAATTATGGTCTCATCTCTCGCTTATTATATTGTGTTTTCTATTTTGATTTTCATGTTTGAAATATGTGTTTAATTTTTTTTCATTATGTGGTCTCTAAAGACTTAATAAGACCGAGAGAATTGAGATTGGTATCAATAATTTATGTTTGTATTCCTATATTTTACTGGCTTTAGTAAATTATCTATGTAAAAAATGGCACAAAACTAACACTTGATTCTTACAGAAGATGCATCAAAATTTGGAAGCGAGCTGAGGGAAAGGCAAAACTAGAAAACGGTCAGTAAAAAGGCATTGATTTGGTTCCCTGGTTTTAGGTAACAATAATGCTGCAAATTTTCAAGCATTCTGAGCTCCAAATTGGGGGTATTTTGGTCATATATTAATAACAAAACTCAATGAAATACTTCAAATGTTACCCCTTCCTCAATAAGTACAGTTGTAATGCACTAATATAATGCATGTGTTGCTTGGAACTCCTGAATATGTGATTGTTGAAAATATAAATGGCAATTATTTTGAACACATCAAGTTCTTAAAACAGTGATGAGCAAAATAATAATATATTTTCCCTAAATAATGCATTGATGATATTGGTTCGTTCTCGCTGCTACATAGAACAGCAATAATAGTCTCCAGATGCCCACATAGATCAGTGTACAAAATGTAAATGTAATATCAATATTTTAACCACTACATTTGATTTGGCTTGCATTATTCTTTAAACCCCATTTTGATCTAGCTTGAGTGATTATTGGTAAATGATCTGCATGCCATTTTAAACTTTTTCATTATTCATAATATATACCCTTGGATCATCGCGGGTGACTTCAATATTGTCCTCTCACCAGTAGAACGTCGAGGCAGTTCTGTTCCCTCCCGGTATGATATTCAAGACTGTTATAATAATAATAATAATAATAATAATAATAATAATAATAATAATATTATTATTATTATTATTATTATTATTATTATTATTATTATTAGTAATTAAACCAAGTCAAAGAATTTAATAAAAACAAAAATCGGTGAGTCATGTATGTTAATGTAGAACATGCCTAGATTATAGGAGTAGTACATGGAGCATTAGCTTCCTATTTATTAGCTTTCTCTTAGTATAAATATGTGGTGTATTTTCATTTGTTAAATCATCCCAGTGAATAAACATTATTCATTCTAATCTTCCTCTCTCTCTCTTCCTATTTATATATTATTATATATAAATACATAGATATATTATATATAATATATATTATATTCAATATATCTTACATTTGGTATTAGAGCCAGTCAACCTTTCAACCCCGAAATATTTCTCGTAGTGAAATATGACAACAAATTTCAATATTGTATGGTCGGGTCCCAAATTGGACGGGAAACTCGATTACAATTATTGGCAAATTATGATGTCCACACATTTGCAATCTCAAAATCTTTGGAGCTTTGTTGATCCCGGTCTACCCGAAGGAGCTGATGCAGCCGCTATACGGCGAGATAAATTGGCCTTGGGTCAGATTCACCAAGGTGTTCATTATTCCATTTTTGGGCAATTAGCTCGTGCTCAAACAACAAAACAAGCTTGGGACATCTTAAAGGTGTCACACAAAGGAGTCGATCGGGCACAGAAGTCTAAGTTGCAGTCGTTGAGAAGGTTGTACGATAATTATGAGATGACCTCTACAGAAACAGTAGATGCGTATTTCACTCGTCTTATTGATATGGTGAATAAGATTAGGCTATATGGAGATACGATTGAAGATGGTGCAGTGGTTGAAAAAGTTCTTCGAACTATGCCGATGAAGTATGACCATGTGGTGGCTTCAATAACAGAGTCACACAAAACCGAGCTCTTATCAATTGCAGAGCTGAAAGGTATGGTAGAAAGTCATATTGAGAGGATTGCGTCAAAATCGGAACCACTAGCAGAAGAAGCTTTGAAGAGTCAAGTCACCCTTAATGTGACTGGCACTAATCAAAGAGGTGGAGGATCTGGTAGAGGTCGTGGAAGAGGAAGAGGATGTTCTAGTGGAAGAGGTCGTGGTAACTCCAACCAAGGAAGAGGTGGAGGTAATACCAAACAAGGTAAATTTCCATTTCATTGCTACAATTGTGGCAAGTATGGACACAAGATTGCAGATTGTTGGTATAATGAGGACAACAATCGTGGAAATCAAGCAAACATTGTTGAAAATACTGCTGAAAAGTCTGGTGAGAATTCTGAAACCTTACTTTTGGCCAGTGATAGTTTTTCTGCTGATAAGAACATATGGTTCTTGGATACTGGGTGTAGTAACCATATGTGTGGGAAGAAAGAATTGTTTTCCGAACTAGATGAATCAGTCCGGTCTGAAGTAACGTTTGGCAATAAGTCAAAGGTGCCAATTTTGGGAAAAGGTAAAATCTCTATTCAGTTGAAGGATGGTACTCAAAATTTTATATCCGATGTGTTCTATGTTCCTGAACTAGACCAAAATTTGTTGAGTATGGGTCAGCTGTCAGAAAAAGGATATAAGATACATATTGCTCAGGGGTGTTGTACCATTGAAGATGCTAAAGGAGTTTTGATTGCAAAGGTAAATATGTCCCAAAATCGACTATTTCCTTTGAAAATTAAGCATACTCTCCTTGATTGCTTTAATTCTGAAGTTTGTGATGATAATTGGTTATGGCATATGCGGTTTGGGCATTTTCATTTCTCTGGATTAAACTATCTTGCGAGAAAGGAACTTGTTTCTGATTTACCTGTTGTGAATGTCCCTGATCGTATATGTGAGATTTGTGTGATTGGGAAGAAGCATAGAGATCCCTTCCCTGTGGGCAAGTCAAGGAGAGCTACAAAACAGTTGGAGATTGTTCACTCAGACCTGTGTTCGTTGGAGGTTACCTCACATGGAGGTTGTAAGTACTTTATTACTTTCATTCATGATTTCAGTAGGAAAACATGGGTTTACTTTCTGAAGCAAAAGTCTGAAGCATGTGATGTTTTCAAACAATTTAAGACTTTTGTTGAAAAGCAAAGTGGTTATGAGATTAAAATCTTGAGAACTGATAGAGGTACAGAATATATTGCCTGTGATGATTTTCTGAAAGAAAAAGGTATTCAGCACCAAATGACAGCTAGATACACTCCACAACAAAACGGAGTGGCTGAGAGGAAGAATAGGTCTATCATGGATATGGTAAGGTGCATGTTGAAATCCAAGAATCTGCCTAAGCCTTTTTGGGCAGAAGCTGTTGCTTGTGCTGTCTATGTGTTGAATAGGTGTCCAACTAAAAGTGTCAGTGATAAGACACCCGAAGAAGCATGGAGTGGGAGAAAACCCTCTATCAAATATCTCAAGGTTTTTGGATGTTTGGCATATGCACATGTGCCAGATCCATTGAGAAAGAAGTTGGATGATTAAGGTGAGAAATGCATATTCATTGGTTATAGTGACGCTTCAAAGGCTTATAAACTATACAATCCTGAAACTAAAAAGGTTGTTATAAGTCGTGATGTCACTTTTGATGAATATGGTGCCTGGGATTGGTTAGCTAAAGATGAAAGTTCAGTTGTTATTCATGCTGTTGAAAATATTGTTGAAGAGCAACCGATTCCAGATAATGTCCAGTCTCCTTCACAGCCAGAGTCGTCAGTTCGGCGATCTCAGCGCGAGCGCCACTTACCAGCTCGCTTGCAAGATTATATTTTGGGTCATGATAATGATCTGTCTGATGAAGAGATTATTCAATTTGCACTCTTTGCAGATTGTGATCCTTTAACTTTTGAGGAGACTGCTACAGAAACTCATTGGCTTAAGGCGATGGATGAGGAGATACGTGCCATTGAAAAGAATGGTACCTGGGAGTTAACAGATTTACCTCCTGGGAAGAAGCCAATTGGAGTAAAGTGGGTTTACAGAACGAAATACAAGTCAGTATATCCAACTTGAAGACAGAGACATTTCTTAAATTGAAGAAGGAGATATTGGGATGACCAATACATCCAACTTGGTTTAAAGGAGGCAATGTTATAATAATAATAATATTATTATTATTAGTAATTAAACCAAGTCAAAGAATTTAATAAAAACAAACATGGGTGAGTCATGTATGTTAATGTAGAACATGCCTAGATTATAGGAGTAGTACATGGAGCATTAGCTTCCTATTTATTAGCTTTCTCTTAGTATAAATATGTGGTGTATTTTCATTTGTTAAATCATCCCAGTTAATAAACATTATTCATTCTAATCTTCCTCTCTCTCTCTTCCTATTAATATATTATTATATATAAATACATAGATATATTATATATAATATATATTATATTCAATATATCTTACAAAGACTTTGAGAATTGTTGTATGAACTTGTGCTTAGAGCATCCACACTTGTGCATATTGTGGGGAGATTTCAGCATTAATTCTTCCCTACATGAGATAATAACTAGTGTGGAGGGGAGATAATTGAAAAATAATTGTCCTGCAAATGTGAGGATATTGTCAGGAAAAAAAAAAAAAAAAAAAAAAAAAAAAGAAGAAAGAAGGAGAAGTAAGGCTGTGCGCGTTCGCGCACAGCCTTGGGCAGAAGCCGGGCGCGTGCACTGCACGCGCCCGGAGGCGCGTCAGTCGGCGCGCCTGACGCGTCTGATTATTATTTTTTTTTTAAATTTTTTTTTTTGTTTTGTTTTTTCTTCTTTTTTTTCTCTCCCTTCCCACATTCTCTTTCCTAATCACTCTTACATTATCCCCCATTCTCCCCAACTAATGTGGATGCTCTACAGACTGTCCCTCAACTGGCAACACGTTCACTTGGAACAATGGGCATAGGGAAGCTAAGTTGGACCGGGTCCTTACTAATGATGCTTGGGCGGAGTTTAAGGGCTTTTTGTATTGTTCTGACCACTGCCCAGTGATCCTAACGTCATCCAACATTTACAACTCTGTGAAGTGGCCGTTCAGGTTCCTTAATATGTGGTTGGGACACTGTGAATTTGGTTCTGTGCTTGATTCAGTTTGGAAAGAAATCTACGATATGATGGCTCGAAGTAACTCATTGTAACACCTCACTTTTTTTAAATCTTAATTATAATTCTAAATCACAATAAACAGAAACTAAGCAGCGGATAAACAATTAAATACGATAACTAGCGGGAATGTCACCGTCACAACCACCACTCCGTGGTGACTGCATAGGTTAAGGGTAGAACTAGAAACAAAGATTTAATAACTAACATCCATAAAATTAACTGAAAGTCATAAGGGGGAAAAAGACACCCCGAAGTCTACATCATCAAATGTCATCAACAATATAAGTCTAAATTTCGATAAATAACATCATAATCAAAACATTAAGAGTTTAGACTTATATAACTACTAGACTAGTCTAACTCGTTCGCTTCTCAACGCTGGGCCCACCTGAAAGGGGTTTTACAAACAACACATCGACAAATAGGAAAACACCCGTTAGCACGAAGCTAAGTATAACCACACTCAACCATGTAAAGTACTATAGAGTATACTTTGGAAAACATTTGATAACATTCATAATCAACAATCTCATCTCATAGGCAACTATAGTTACATCACAGACTTTCTATATGCTTGCAACCTATAATATCAACAGGCATGCTTCAATACAAATGACTTATCAACATAAAGATTCCAACACATAAATATCACAACGAACTCATAGTAACGATCTCATGCTTACAAGCAATTTCATACTATTAAACCATACGAAAACTATCGTCATGCTTTAAAGTTCTCATCATGCAAACTG